GGCTTCCCAGATGTTGTCCCCTCCCAAGCCAACTCAGCTAAATCGTTGCTAAATGAAAAGGTGGTTGTTTGTAGTGAACGCTACAAACTGAATTTCAAACGCCTAATAAGCTACTGAAAATTACCTCACGCTTTCCGATGTCACAAACTGTAAAAGTACAAATTAGGCTGCAAGTACAGCCCAGTCACGACGAACACTGCTATATGTTCAAATAATCAAGTCTCCTTTGCAGAGTCTATTGAAGGAGATTATTATGAGCGATCATTCGCTAATCATTATGTGACAACTATCTTTGTCACAGTGATCTCCTCTGCCTTGTCTGTTTTGTGGGTGATGCTCACATGTTCTCAGAAGGTGATGTTTTCCCCCACAGAGACAGCTCTTCCTGGAGCTCCAATTGATGTGAACCTTTGCTCTCAGCCATCAGCTGCACACAGCCAGGATTCACAGTAAATCAGAGGAGCTGGGAAAAACACAACTGGACGGCTTCTGGGGAAAAATACAACTGGACGGCTTTCAGTTCCAATCACGTCTTGTTTTACCTCGCTCTGGCCACTCAGTTATCGGGAAATAATGGATTTTTTTTTCTGTGAAACGGAAAGAGCAGGATTAAAATTTTCAAATTTAAAAATGTTCTCCTTCTGCATTTTATGTGATAAATGGAAGGGTTTCTTTGAGAGAAAGAGGGAAGTTTCATTTTCTTCGAATGGAAAAGAGATCTTTCAAGATAGAAAATCCTGTTAGTTTTTATCCTTAGAAGGCGGCTCTTGTTTTGCATGGAAGGTTTGTAAGGAAGGTGGAATATGCAATTCCTGAATGTGTGGTTTTGGAGGGATGGTGGACATTGCACATCGTCCGCCTGAAGAGCAGTCAGGGTCACTTGCAGAAGCACCCCAGAACCTGCTGTATGACTTGCACTGAGCAGGAGATGTGGTTCTCCTGAGTCCAGCAACCTGTACCCCAGGCCTGAAGCTCTACCAGTCTGTTATAAACACACTTGCTGCAGTTCTCATGGGGAAGCACAAACAGTTTTAAACATGGACATCTCTTTTCCCAATTTGTTTAATAGTAACCGTCAGCCGAGTTTAAGACTTTTTCTAAACCTCCTTCCAAGCAGGGTGATTGCTCCCTGGCTGGTAGTGGACAGGAGCATGCCACACTTCTTCCATGTTTTGACATAAAGACCTACTAGAGTGCTGGCAGTTGGGCTCAAATCTTTCAGGGTGTGCCCCCTGGGTCCCCCCTAAATAACCCATCTATCCCAAATGTAATAACTTGGCATTTGAAACCTTCCAGGTTCATGCTCAAGCCTCATCCATCTGGACATCTGGACAGGCCCATGTACCATACACACAGAACTCCCGACATTCTTGCCTTCCTGCTTCTGAAGTTCTAACCCTCTCTGGGGAAAACTGTGTGCATACATTCCTAACATTTCAAAGTTTTCTGTCACTTGAGGCACAACCAGATACCCCAGGCCTCCTGGCAATACCCCGATTTTGCTCCTCCAGGCAGCACATCTTACCTGTTATATCTTACCTGTTACCTTACATCTTACTTGTTACTTTGCATCTTACCTGTTACCCTGGGAGTAGATATGGGCATCCTTTTCAGAATAGAGACCATGGCTTGGGTTTCTCTGTATCCTGCAGGGCCTGTGGATTGCCTTGTGAGTAGAAACTGCCAAATGCTACTTATTTTGAGTATAATTTTATTGTGGAACATTTGGAGAATACAAAGAACTAAAGATGAAAATTCCATACCATCACTGATGGTCCCGTTACCCATATGGAACCACAGTGCCACTGTAAATTGTTTGGTTTAGAGTCCTCCCACCTTTTTGATGAATGTACATGAATGCATTTTAATATGTTTGCAATAACTATTAGGTTGGTGCAAAAGTTACTGAGATTTTTGCTATTACTTTTCATGGCAACAACTGCAATTACTTTTGCACCAACCTGATAAGTACAAGACATAATGTCTTTTAGGGATTCTTTATCATTATGCTGGCTTCGTAAAATTTGAAAAGTACATTAAAACCTATGGAAGAAATTTCAGATGATCTAGAATTGTATTTCTCAGGAAAAGAACTGTCTTAGTGCTTCAGTGTATTTCTTTCACATGTATTTAATATTGTGCAATGTAAAGACCAATGTAAAAATTAACAGAAAAAGAGATGACCCAGAATGGCAGAGGTGTGAAAATGGGCTTGATGCTAGAAAATCTCTTCTACTACAAGATGTATTCAATTTCCCTTAATTGAAAATATGATTTCACTAGTTGAGTGTAAATTTTGAAGACATAAAACCATTATTCGGTTTATTTGTGACTGAGAACAGCCATTACCACGCTGTGGGTGTCCACACTGCTGGAGGGAGAAATTGTGAACAAGCCCTAGTGCCTTTTAGTCACTCATTTTCCCAGTGAAATGCCATGTTATGATTGGTAACTGAACCACGGTTATGAAACGGTGGAGTGAAACAGCCCCAGCCATTGTTTTAGGTGAGTTTCAAATTTGGCAAGAGCTTCTGTTTGTACCCCAAGGAAATGAATGCTGCTCTGTCACCACATTCTTGGAATTCAACAGGAGGCAGCAACAGAGAAGCAGGCATCTCAGGAGGCCCTTCGGAACCTCAGATCACGAAGCCTCCTGAAAACACGCAGTACACTGGGTTCCTAACGGTGTAACCTGGTGTAACCTGTGCTAACACTGCCTTCTAATGTGCAGCTCTAAAGCATTGGCCAGTATTTGGTTGGTGATATGGTTTCACTATGTCCCCACTCAAATCTCACCTTGAATTGTAATCATCCCCATGGGTCAGGAGTGGCGCCAGGTGGAGATAACTGAATCATGGGGGCGGATTCCCCCATACTGTTCTTGTGGTAGTGAATAAGTCTCATGAGAGCGGATGGTTTTAAAAATAGGAATTCCCCTGCACGCACCCTCTTGCTGCTGACACGTAAGACATCCCTTTGTTCTTCGTTTGTCTTCCGCCATGATTGTGAGGTCTCTGCAGCCATGTGGAACTGTGAGTCCATTAAACCTCTTTCTTTCATAAATTACCAAGTCTCTTTATTAGCTGCATGAGAACAGACGAATACAGTTGGCTAACACATATTTTCGCAAAGGGTATGCAGATGAACTATTCCCTCAAATTTACAAATCAGGCAATAGTATTCTGTCTTGTTCTCATTGAAATATATCTTGATTGGATTATACAATTCTTAGATCTCAAACTTTTCTTTGCGTTGATACGCTATTTCATTGCTTCTTGCCTTTAGTATTGCAGAGGAAATTTAAGTTAGCTTGTTTTTACTCCTTTTATTAAAAAATATTTTTTCTAAGAATATTTATGGGATTTATCACACATATACATCTACACATACGCATACAGACATGCAAGCATGCATGTTACATATATATGATTTCCTATATGCATTCGTTATGCTAAGTAGTTTTTTCTTAGTTCTTGAAGTAAGTTGCTCTTATGCTTCTGTTGTTCCTTTGAGTTTTCAGCACAATATTCATTGTTATCTGTCTGCATTCAGTGGTTAGTTTCCTGTTTACTTCTCTTATAAAATGATGGGTCAGCTTGTTGGCTGAAAGGAAGTGTGCTGCCCATCATAATCCATCTCTTGGACACACAACTGTGTATCTAATCTCTTTCTAGACATCCATGTGTTTAACAATTTGATTGGTGTTGATCATAGGAGAACTCCTTTTTCTTATAGGACGTAACCTGTTGTGGGACGAAAATGGGAACCTCCTGCTTTCAAGTTCTCCCTGATTTTGGACATTTAAATCCAAAGACATGAAAACAAGCCAAGAACATTACACATGATTTTTAAAAACTGGAAGAGAGTGAAATAAAGGAAGATGAGACAGGAAAAGACCTGGTAGAAAGAGCAGTAAGCGCAATACCAAGAAAGGTGCAAGATCCGTGCTGAGTCCTTGGAGCCACTGTTGGCCATGAGACCCTGTCTCCCTGGAATGGCTCCTGCAAATCCTGCAGCTTGCAGTCCTTGAGAGAGCCACTGGTGGGAAGCACAGCCCCAGCACAAATACAGCAAGGGGTTTCAAAAAACAGAGGCTGCCGCCTTTTGTCGAGTTCCCTCCCTGTAATCCAAGACATGAGAGGTTCATCTTCAGGTTTTAAAGTAATGTGTGGAGCTCTGGCAAGCTCCAAAAGTGGTCTCTGATTTTTGCTTCTGTGTGTGTCTTTGGTCTGAACTTGAACTCACGGTATTGAATCTATTGGGATGGGTTCTCATCTGCTGTGGCTCTTGTCTTTTCGACACACATGTGACTCCGCCTCTGTCCAGCTAGACGCCTTCTAGTGGACTTCTCTGCCATTGGACATGGCCTTCATGGTATTTGATAGGGTTATTGCTTTAAGTGTCACAAACTGCCTTAGCCTTATCTTCTCTCAACCCCGAGAACATCCATTTCTCCATGGATCTCTGGTTTCTTGACAGCAGAAGATAGTGTTCCATAACTACCGTCCAGGCACAGAAAGAGCTATTGCTCTGGAGTGGTCATTTATGGTTGTCAGAGCAAGATGTATACATTTTTTAGGAAGATGAGTCATGGATAAGTCATGAATTTATGTGGATATGGCCAACTTAAGCCAAGGATTAGCAAGTTTTTCCCTAACGTCTTTAACTTTGTCTTGTAACCTCTTCTCTCTTAAAGTGAACATTTTCTCCCAAAAGGAATGAACAATTATTCATTTGCTTAAGCTAGTAGTTTTTTCTTTTTCTTTTTCTTTACTTTTTCTTTCTTTTTTTTTTTTTCCCCAGAGAGAGAATCTTGCCCTGTCACCCAGGCTGGAGTGCAGTGGCGTAATATTGCCTCACTACAAACTCTGCCTCCAGGTTCCAGCAATTCTCCTGCCTCAGCCTCCCAAGTAGCTGGGATTACAGGTATGCACCACCATGCCCAGCTAATTTTTGTATTTTTAGTCGAGACAGATTTTCACCATGTTGGCCAGCTGGTCTCAAACTCCTGACGTCAGGTAATCCACCTGCCTCAGTCTCCCAAAGTGCTGCGATTACAGATGTGAAAACTACTCCTGGCCTACTTATGCTAGTAGCTTTAAAATAACTCTCAAAGTAGTCTCAGGACCATACTATTCCTGGGTTGCCCATCGGGATAATGAATGCACTGTAGGATTTCTTTTTGTGCTTTTATCACAGGAGGGCTGTGCTTTCAAAATACTATGTCATTACATCTGTTGAGGTCATTCTTCTCTTCCTGGTTAAGATTTCTACTTGAAATACATCAATTAATTTGGTTCAGTCTGTGTTCCTTTTGTAAATATTGCATAGGTATATTTGTCTCTTACTAGATTTGCAAAATTCTGTAACATCTTTATGTATTTCCATACTCAAAATTATAAACAAGATAGGTGTAAAGAAATCTAGTTTCCCTTTTCATTCTTACTTCTTTCTTCCCTCTGCTTGGAGGCAAGCTTTTTAAGTTAATTCCTAGTTTTTGGTTATATTTTTTCCCGAATTATTGTCTCTTTTGTAAGGCAGTTAAACAATTTTGTGGCTCAACATGGTTAGTTGTTCTCTCTGCTTCTTCTTGTACAGCTGAGTCACCAGAGGCCCATGAGATTGGGTCGTCTTCCCAGAGACCTATGGTTCTCCGGCAGAGTCCTGGATTCTGGATCCCACATCCAAGCCTTCTGAGAGTGTGGGTCTCTGCTCCCCAAACAGGCAGATGCTGTGGAGTCTCTTGTTCATGGTGGGCCAGGACCCAGGGGGTGCTGAGCACCAGAGACTCTGTGGTCTCTCTCTTCACAGTCATCCGGGATTTCATGTTTTAGTACAAATGAAAGCTACCTGATTTCTGTCACAATAATGAGAGGGTGAACACTCTCCGTAACTTTGTATTTCATATGTATTTGATATGTAGAAAGACAGAGTGGAAATTGCTCTGAACTAGGTTCAAGCCTGAAAATTGGTCATTTTTGACAGTTGAGTTAACTTCACCTCACCACTTTGGTTAATAAATCCTCTTCAACTCTTGACAGACAGGAGAAAGATACCGTTGTACCACATAACAAACTCGGGTAATTGCGTTTCCTAAATGGGGTAAGTCTGCTTTCACCGGGAGCTGAAAAAAAAAAAATGCATGATAATGCTTTTCTCACCACTCTGCAGGTCAAGGTGACAATTCTTGCAGAGGTTGCCTCACCCCTCAGCGATGGGAGAGGGACTCCCAGGAGACGGGGGTTGGGGGGCAAGGTGGGAATGGCTGTGGGGCTCCCACTAGCCGCGGGGGAGAGGAGGGGATGGCTGCGGGCAAAAGTAGAAAGAGGAGGGAGGCAGGGGTGGCTCCCAGTAACCAAGGGGGCGGGCCGGGGGTGGCTGCTGGGAGCCCGATCCCGGGGGGGTGCCTCACCCCCGGCCATGGGGATCCCCGAAGCCAGGGGGCCAGGCCGGGGGTGGCTGCTGGGAACTGGATCTGGATATCTGGAAGAGTATCACAAGGGGTTGTACAGTGTCTCTGATACTGAGAGTAATATCAATCTCTCGGCCTTGGAATATTGAGAAGGATGAAACAGGGTGGTAGTCCACCCTTTGCCACATTGCGAGTAATATCAGCATATCCCCTCCATGGATATTAGGATCTATATCCCAGACTGGGTGTACGCCCCCTGCTGTACAGAGTGTAATATCATCCTCTCCCTCCGTGGATAGTAATTACAATGTCATGAAACACAGCCTGCCAATTATTATCATCCTCTCCCTCTCCGTATACTGAGAACAATATCTCAGAGAAGAGCTGTGCCCTCTCTGCCATATTGGGATAATTACATAGGCTTCTTCGAGAATATTAGAACGTACCGGGTAGCTGTCATTCTGTTGCTGTTTGGAGTCATGTCTCTACCTTTATATTAGGATCAGCGTCGTGGTGATGTACACACCTATGCCATATTAAAAACTCAAATCATGTTTCCGTCCCGAATATTAAGACAACTGTATCTGAGTAGTTAACACTCCCTGTGAATTAAAGATAGTAATATGATTATGAAACATCAATGATCCATTTTAATAATTATCAATGATACTAATGATTCATAGGATACCATGATTAATTATGGATAATGATTTGAAATACATTATGCATGCTTTCAATTAATTATTATCATTAATGTCATTTAATAATATTATTAGTTCTAATACTAATTATTATTTGATCACCAACATCTTGGTATTGATTTGGTCCCATTAATTGCTAATATCATAATTTTTTAATTAATAGTGATATTCCTAATAATTATTATTAGAAATCATTAATATTTTAAACCAGTATTAACTTTTACTCTCTTTTTTGTAATCATTAATATATTATGCTATTATTAATGTTAATATAATTATTAATATGAATAACTAATAGACTGATTCCTGATATCCACCAGGGAAAGGACGATGTTAATTTATATGTCACAGGCAGTGTACACCCCGTGATAGTGTTTGAATTTCTGCTTGGGAGAGGAGGATATCACCCAATATCACAGGGTAAAGTAATCTGGGATACTGTTCTTAATACTCAGGAGGCTGATGTGGCTCTATCAAGAAGGGTTACCCACTCTGGTGTGCACACTGGGGTGTACAATCGTCTGAAGGAGTTGATAATTTTATGAATTGGGGAGATGATGTACTCTGATAAAGAAGAAAGGGAAACGCCCAGAGTCACCAGGCTCCCAGAAACCAGGGGGCAGGCCGGGGGTGGCAGCTGGGCCCGATCCCGGGAGAGGCCTCACCCCCTGGCGATGGGGCTCCCAGAAGCCAGAGTGACACTAAGGGGTAGCTGCTGGGAACCCGGATCTGGATATCTGGAAGAGTATCACAAGGGTTTCATTGCAGTGTGTGTGATATTGAGCATAATATCAATCTCTCAGCCTTGGAATATAGAGAAGGATGAAACAGATTGGATGTCTCCACCCTTTGCCACAATGTGATAATATCAGCATGTCCCCTCCATGGATGTGGATATATCCCAGACTGGGTGCGCCCCCTGCTGTACAAGTGTAATATCATCTCCCTCCGTGGATAGTAATTACAATATCACTGGGCAGAAGCACACAGCCTGCCAATTATTATCATCCTCTCCTCTTGGTATACTACTGGAACAATATCTCAGAAGAACTGTACCCTCTCTGCCATATTGGGACTAATAACGCAAGCTATCTTCGAATATTAGAACAATATTGCCAGAGCAGCTGTCCATTCTGTTTTGCTGTTTGAGTCATGTCATACTCTACCCCCTTTATGTCTTTCCAGGATCAGCATGCGTGGTGGTGTACACCTACTGCGATATTAAACTCAAATCGTGTTTCCCAGTCCCCGGTCTTAGGAACAGCATCACAGGTGGGATTAACACTCCTGTGAGTAGGAATATTAATATGATTATGAAACATCAATGATGTGATTTTAATAATTATCGTAATTTCTAATTGTAGGATACCACGATTAATTATGAATAATGATTTTAAATACACGATTCGTGCTTTCAATTGGTATTAATATTAATATCATTTAATAATATTATTAGTTCCTAATACTAATTGTTATTTGATTACCAGCATCACTTAAGTATTGATTTAAGTCCATTAGTACTATATCATAATTTTTTTATTAATATGATATTCCTAATAATTATTTTTAAAAAATCGTTAACATTTAAGAAAGCTAGTATTTATTTTTATCTCTTTTTTGTGATCATTAATATTAATAATAATTATTAATATTAATATAATTATTAATATGGAACTAATATAGACTGTTTCCTCATATCCCCAGAGGACTGTGTTAATTTATGTCACAGACGGTGTACACCCCCGTGATAGGGTTTTAATTTCTGCTTGAGAGAGGATATCACACCCAATATCACGGGGTAAAAACAATCCTGGGATACTGTTCTTAATACTCAGGGAGGGAAGGGCTGATGTGACTCCTAATACAGAGTTACACCCTCTGAGGTGTGCACACTGAGGGTGTACAGTCGTCTGAGAAGGAGTTAGGTAGCTTTTTAGATGGAGATATTACTCCCCAATATCAGAAAGGCTGTGGAGTCCACCAAGGCTCCCAGAAGCCAGGAGGCAGGCCAGGGTGGCGGCTGAGCCAGATCATGAGGGTGCCTCACCCCCGGTGATAGGGATCCCAAGCCAGGGGCGGGCGGGGTGGCTGCTGGGGCTGGATGTCTGGATATCTGGAAAGTATCACAAGGGTTGTGCAGTGTGTGTGATATTGCGAGTAATATCAATCTCTCAGCCTTGGAATATAGAGAAGGATGAAACAGGGTGGATGTCCACATGCCCACATGCCAGTAATGTCAGCATGTCCTGCATGGACATTAGGATCTATATCCCAGTTGGGTGTACGCCCCTGCTGTACAGAGTGTAATATCATCCTCTCCACTCCGTGGATAGTAATTACAATATCACTGGGCGGAGCACCATATACCCGATTAGTGTCATCTCTGTCCCTCTCCAGTATACTAAGACAGTATCTCAGAAGGAGCTGTATCTCTGCATGTTGGACTAATAGCATGAAACTCTTCTTGAGATAATTAAAGACATTATTACCGGGTAGCTGTCCATTCATTGCTGTTTGGAGTCATGTCTCATGCTCTGCCATATATTAGGATGTTTGGAGTCATGTCATACTCTACCCCCCTTTATATTAGGATCAGCATCACGTGGTGAGTGTACACCTACTGCGATATTAAAACTCAAATCATGCTTTCCATCCCCGGATATTAGGAACAGCATCACAGGTAGGTTAACATTCCCTGTGGAATTAGGAATAGTAATATGATTATGAAACATCAATGATCGATTTTAATAATTATCAATGAAACTAATAATTCATAGGATACCATTATTAATTATGGATGATTTTAAATACATGATTATGCATGCTTTCAATTAATTATTAATATTAATGTCATCAAATATTATTAGTTCCTAATAGTCATTATTATTTGATCACCAGCATCACTTGGTATCGATTTAAGTCCCATTAATTGCTAATATCATAATTTTTTTATTAATAGTGATATTCCTAATAATTATTATTAGAAATCGTTAACATTTTAAACCAGTATTAATTTTTATTCTCTTTTTTGTGATCATTAATATTAATAATTACTATTAATATTAATATAATTATTAATATGAATAACTAATAGACTGATTCCTGATATCCACCAGGGAGAGGACGATGTTAATTTATATATCACAGACGGTGTACACCCCCCGTGATAGGGTTTCGAATTTCTGCTTGGGAGAGGAGATTATGACACCCAATATCACAGGGAGTAGAAATAATCCTGGGATACTGTTATTAATATTCAGGGAGGAAGAGGCTGATATGTCTCCTAATACAGAAGGGGTTACACCCTCTGAGGGTGTGCACACTGGGGGTGTACAATCGTCTGAGAAGGAGTTGATAATTTTCGGATGGGGAGATGATATTACTCACAACATCAGAAAGAGGCTGTGAGTCCACCATGGCTCCCAGAAGCCAGGGGGCCGGCCGGGGATGCGGCTGGGAGCCCGATGGCGGGGGGTGCCTCACCCCCCCCCCCCCCGGCGATGGGGCTCCTAGAAGCCAGGGGGGCCGGCCGGGGGTGGCAGCTGGGAGCCCGATCGCGGGGGGTGCCTCACTCCCTGGCGATGGGGCTCCCAGAAGCTGGGGTGGCTGGGAGGCCGATCGCAGGGGGTGCCTCGTCCCCCGGAGATGGGGCTCCCAGAAGCCGGGGGGGGGGCGGGTCGGGGGTGGCGGCTGGGAGCCCGATCCCGGGGGGTGCCTCATCCCCCAGCCCTGGGGCTCCCAGAAGCCAGGGGGGCGGGCCGGGGGTGGCTGCTGGGAAGCGTATCTGGATATCTGGAAGAGTATCACAAGGGGTTGTACAGTGTCTCTGATACTGAGAGTAATATCAATATCTCGGCCTTGGAATATTGAGAAGGATGAAATAGGGTGGATGTACACCCTGTGCCACATTGCCAGTAATATTAGCATGTCCCCTCCATGGATATTAGGAGCAATATCCCAGACTGGGTGTACGCCTCCTGCTGTGCAGAGTGTAATATCATCCTCTCCCTC